TGTAAGGGGATGTCCAGCTGCCTACAGATGGGCTTTGGGTCCCCACTCTGCACTCCCCTTCATTCACAATATGAGCTTTTTTTTGTTCTTTGATACCTGATTCCATCAACACCTCATGATCACACAGGCTGGTATGCTTCTTCCATGTGGGCTTTGTTACTTCCAAGCTAGATGGCCGCTTGTTTATCTTCAAGCCTTTAAGACCCCAGACGCTATATCTTTTGATAGCCGGGCACCATCACCTTTCTTCACTACATTTGCTTATGCACCCATTTTGTCTTCAGCAATGTTGTAGGGAAGGTGAGCGTCACAGAATGCCCGGTTATTGGAACAAAGTGTTCATGTGTTGAGGGAGTATTTGAGTAGAGGCCCAATGTCCATCTGCTACCTTAAAACTTAACCTATCAGTATATGTACACTGACCTATATCCCTATCGTTATATATAAATATATTTTTATATGTATGTGCCTGTATTTTGACCTTTATAAATGTCCTTTCCTCCTAGTTCTTTCCTCTATTTCCTTTTACTTTCCTCTTGTCCCACTATCATGTTCACCTTCCTTTGGTTTACAGTATTTCCTCTCAGCTACATTACCCTTGATCATACCCCACCAGGCATTCTACACCCTCTTCGCCATTGATTTTTAGATCACTCGTCCCCTTGTCCCTGGATTTATGGGCTACCCCTTTCATTTCCCCCACCATCCCCTCTCCCATATCCTGCCCCCTGCCCAGAACCATCGGTTCCATTGTTTTTTCCTTGGGATTTTTTATCCTATCTATCTTATATAGATAGACATGGGATAGGGGGGGGGGAGAGCCAATAAATAGTTCCAGATCTGTCTGTTGATTTTTATGAATGTTTTTCTATCAAATCTGATGAGGTGCCAAGCCCTGCCCCCAAAGTCTATTTTTGGTATTCCTCAGGGACTTCATTGCTTTGCTCCCCTTGCTGCTCTGTTACACTCCCTTTGTGTTTTCCCCTGGTTGGGGGCTGGGGGGTTTCAGACCAGGCACAATCCCTGCATTGTGTCTCCAGTGTTGTCCCTCGTAGCACTATGGGTCAATGAGGGGGCACCGTGTCTGATGGTGGGGCTGGCCCTATGGTCCTCTCTGTGCGTTGGCTGTTCTGAACAGGAATATCATCCTCGGGGCTTGGTGGGCTAGAATGGTTCGTTCGTTCTCTCTACCTCTCTTTTCTTCCCTCTTAGTTTGCTCCCTGTGTTCTGGGCAGACCTGCCCCTCTCCCTGAGCTGTATCTCCAGTGCATTCTTCTGGGGAGGGAGTCCACACAGCTGGGATTGGGATCAGCCCCGCAGACCTCTCTGTTAGTTCGCTGCTTCATGCTGGTATTTTGCCTTCTGGTCTTGGCGCACCAGGTTAAGGTCTGGTGTCTCTCTAGAGCCCTTTCCTGTGGAGACAAACAATACCTTCCCATGGTTGGGTTCCTTTTCTTCTACTTAAAAGTAAGTGAGCATTTCACCCTGAAAGATAAGGTACAAAACCAAACTCACTGTCATTAAGTATTCAAATGTATAGCAACCCTATGGGACAGACTGGAATTGCTCCATAGAGTTTCTGAGATTGTAAGTCTTTTCAGGAACAAATAACCTGTCCTTTCTGTGGAAACCTGGTAGGTTTGAACCACTAACCTTGCGGTTAGCTAACCAAGTTTAACTCGTAGCTCCAATAGGGCTTCTTGGAAACACAGGCAAAAATATAAAATACCTTTACACTCATCTTTCCTACTCCCACTTTCCCGTTTTCCACAAGAAATGACAGCATATTTAAAATCCCAAACAGCTCACTTGATGGAGTCTTTCAGCATAAATACAGCCAAATATTAATTCATATCCAAGCCTTGTCCCATGGACCCCTTCCTATAAGTAAATCTTAGTATATACATCAATACTATGTGCCTGTGCCTGTCATCAAGAATCTTGGATGAATTCTTGATCCCTCTGCCTTATTCCTTTGTCCAAGATACTCAGTAAGGCCTTCTGAAAGTCATGCTGTGTCAACAGGCATCAGTTTATTCTGCTCTAGCATGAAAAGGATGAGATTGTTAATTATTGAAAAATAAATGAATAGTCTTAAAGTGTTTCAAGAGGCTTAATTGAGGTTGAAGAGGCATGACTAGAAATTGAAGCATAGTTCTAAGGCAGATCATTTGAAGATGATAATTTTCTTTCTTTAAATCATTGGGGGATTGTACAGCTCTTATCACAATCCATACATACATCCATTGTATCAAGCACATTTTCAAAACATTTTCTTTCTACTTGAGCCCTTGGTATCAGCTC